AAAAAAAAATCCGAAAGAATTAAGCATCAGTTCGATTGATTTCATAATCTGGTTCATCATCCATTGATTTATCTTTTGTTTCAGGTAATAATAATGTTAACAGCACGACAATCATAGCTAAACCAGATGATGCATAAAATGTATAAGATTGATATTCATTGGCAACCGATGTATTTATAATTGGTGCAACAATAGCACCGATACGACTAAATGCAATAAAAAATCCATTGGCACTACTTCGAATTGATGTTGGAAATAGTTCAGGAACAAATATCCATGATACAGCAATAGAACCTGAAATGGCAAATTTTCCAAATTGTGCAATAAATACAGTTGCATCTGGACTATGATTTATAGTTATGGGAATAAGAATAACACAAATAATTGTTAAAATCATCATTAAAATAAATGAACCTTTACGAGCAAATCTTGTTGATATAAGTAAAGAACCAGTTACATATCCAGCACCTTCAACAACAGCACCAATTAGAATTCCTAAATAAGGTGATATTTTCATGACAGCTAAACCATAACTTATTTTAATATAGAGCATAAGTGTTGTAAAACCAAGTAGAGCACTAATTAATAATCTAATGACAGTTGGTCGATGTGATAGAATTTGACGAAGTTTTTGGAAAAATGTCACTTGATTATCATTGGATAATGTTATTGGTTGTTTTCGTATAAAATCTTGATAAAATGGATACCAATCTTCTTCATTTCGATTATTTGTTCTTGCTATTCGTCTTAGAAGTGCTTCCAATTGTGGATATTGTCGTTTTGAATACAGATATAATGGTGATTCAGGCATAAAATAAAGATACGGTATAACTAAAGCAACAAATAATGTATCAGCCCATTTAAGTATTTGCCAATCTCTTGCTAAATAAGCAAATAATGTCACAATGCCTTCACCAATTGAAAATGCAACGAGTGCAGAATTTCCAGCAAAACCCGTATGTGCTGATGATGTTAATTCAAGCAATAAAATAAATGTTAAACTAAATGTAGAAGCAGTAAGACCTGATGCAAATTGATTAAGTAATAAAAGAGCAAATCTAATAGAAAAAAACAAATAATTATTTAAATAGAAATAGAAATTACTAATTTACTTTGTTTCTACTGTCATAATTGTTAACCATTGGATCATTACTTGAGTAATTAGACATACTATCAGTAGAAGAATAGTAACAATAGCTGTTATTCTTTTTCGACCATATCTATCACCAAATGAACCAATAATAAGTAATGAAAAACCACCACATTGCATTAGAGTTGCTAACCAACTCTTTTTTGGTTCACTACTACAAACAAGATTTGCTTCTTCAGTAAATGTATATCCAAATATTGATTGATCATATGCCCAGCCATCTCGACAATTGTCTAACGTATCATTTGGATTTCCAGTTGTATAACGTACACATTTTTCCCATTTTTGTCCATCTTTTGTTTTAGGTATATAACTATTAATAAATATTTCATGTGTTCTATTTATTGGATAATAACTTATATCATTTGGCCATATAGTTGGTGGTAATCGACAACGATGTTCAGGATCAGCTGCAGCAAAAACATAATAAAAACCAATTACACCAGCACTCATTGCAATGAGATTAATAAAGAAAAAATGCACATATTGAAATCGACCAAGGTCACCACATTTTTTTAAAATACTATCTAAAGAGATTGTGGTTGTTGGTAGAGATGATAGACTTGTATTGATATCAATTTGTTCTGTCTATGAATATATATATATATATTTTAAATAAATTAGTAAAAAGAAAGAAAATTCCTATGCTTACATGTAATGCTACTTTCGTAGGATCATCATTAAGAGCGTACATTTCACTTTCTGATTCTCTCATTGATGTAGTTAGAGTTTGTCCTTGGTCAAAGGTAAGTTAGATAAATTTTTATAAAGATAATATTATCTAATCTTCTATATTTTATTCTTTGAATTTTATTGTCTATTAATTCATGTAGAAGAAAAAAAACCGGGAAGAAAACATGTTTCAATAATTCTTTTTCTTGTACTATTGTCAAGGAGAACTATTTGCCCTCACACAATATTTTGTATATTTTTTCTAACGGAATAGATAAGTCTATTTTTTTTTCTTTCTGTTCCCTTTTATTTTTTTCATCTCCACTATTCTAACGCACGATGTATTCAAGGATATTTTTTCTATAGTTCTTTAATAAGAAATGATGTATCATAACCTAGACAAAAACAGAATTATTTTATTTGATTATTTGAATTTAATGAAGAATGATTGTATGTTGATCTGTTTTATTCTAATACAATGAACGATAGTTATAATTGCAAAGAAATTAGAAATATTCTTTACAAAAGGTATTGATAGAGGTTTTCTCTCAATTTCCTTCTTCCTTTTTTTCATAAGAAATTATTTCTCATGTGTATTATAAAATCTTTTTCTTTTCTCATACTTCAGTACTCAGACACTAAGAGTATTCGTTGAACATGACTATAAGAAAATCATACAAAGTTCATTAGAGAGATTTTTCAGTAAATAATGATAATGTATATATTTTAAATGTAATTATCAATTTAGAAAATGGTTTTCATCTATGTATACATATTCATAATTTAGTGCCATACCTTCAAAACTATTTCCTTTTGAATTTCACTCAATTATCAAGAATTGATAATTTGAAAAAACAAATAATCGTCTCTGAGAATGAGCATGGAGAGAAAAGAATGAATCAACACACATGATGAAATACTAACTTATCTTTAATAAAAGATGGTGACAAAATGTTAGTAAACGAATAGTATTGGTTTCAAACGAGTTTACAGTGATTTATCGTTTTGTATGAAAACGATGTAAAAACAAATGAGATTTAATCCGAAAATCTAATAAATGAACTAAATGTAGAGTAAATGCAATGAAAATCATACTTTAATAATAACAAAAATTTTCGATCTTAATCAATCATTATCAAGCAGAGAAAACACAAACACGATACAAGTATGATGATGTTACAAATACGCAAAAAATGTAAACTTTAATAACATAAACAATTGACAATGGTATAAAGTATCACGAATAATAAATTAATTTAATTCGATCTTAAGTTTGAACTGAGGGTGGGTGTTGGTGTGGGTATGAGTGTTATATTTATCATACATCCACACCCACACCGCACCCTTATTTATTTATTCAGAACTACAACTACAATTCTTCTTTTACACTTTCAATCCACACTTCCACAGTTTTAAGATTAGGATGATTTGGTGGTAATGAAACTTTGAAAATGTCCAAAGCACGTTCAAAATATGAGAGTGCTTCCGAATATTCTTCCATGCTATAATATAGACTACCAAGGTTGCTGTAGGAAGCAGCCAAATCAGGATGATTTGCAGGACGAGTTTTTTCCCATATTCCAACTACTTTTTCGTGAAATGAAAGTGCCTTCGAGTACTCTCCCATCTTTTCATATAAAGTACCAATGTTGTTGTAAGAAGTAGTCAATGAAGGATGATTTCCAGGAAGAGTTCTTTCTTTGATTCCAAGTGCTTTTTCGTGAAATAAAAGTGCTTCCGTATACTCTCTCATGTGCATATATACCATACCAATGTTGCTATAAGGAGTAGCCAATGAAGGATGATTTGGAGGAAGAATTTCTTCTCGAATCTTAAGTGCTTTTTTGTAAAATGAAAGTGCTTGCGAGTACTCTCCCATGCTATCACACATACTACCAATGCTGTTGTAGGAAGTCGCCAAGTCAGGATGATCTGCAGAAAGATTTTTTTGTCGAATTCTTAGTGCTTCTTCGTAAAATAAAAGTGCTTTCGAATACTCTGCCATTTTCTTATATACACTACCAATGTTGTTGTAGGAAGTAGCCGATGAAGGATGATTTACAGGAAGAGTTCTTTCTTGAATTTCAATTACTTTTTCGTAATATTTAATAGCCTGATCATAGTTACCTTGTTGATATTTGACAACTCCAAGCTGCTCATAATAATGTCCTTTGTCACACTCGTTCGATGGTTGCTCAAGTAGTGTTTTATATAATTCTTCAGCCTTATTACAATGACCTGTTTTGAGTAATAAGTTACCTAATCGTTCCCATCCTGTCGCACCCACAATGTCTTTGCTCATACATTCAGTCAGTTGTCGAAGTTGTTCGTCATCATCAGCAGTTAGTTGAAGTTCAACTTGATAAAGTAAATCATTATTATTCATTTGTTTAATTGCACCTATTCGAAACACGGTGTGCATGGAGAAGAGAATTTCTTCTTCTTCTGCCTTAAAATAACTAATTTCATCTATAGAAGCAAATGGTGCTGATGAGACACGTGGATCAATAGTCATTATAAAAAGCACTCCCAGCTTGTCTGTATTTTCTAACACATTCTTGGCGAACTCAAGCGCAACATCTCGGTCCCTACTAGTGGATAAAAAACTGTCAAAAGACATGAGACCACCTTCTGTTTTTTTGAGTTTGTCGAAATTAGTTTTCAAGAAAACTTGGCCTCGGTAAACTTCAAAAGGCTTGCCACGATAGTTTGAAAATTGTTGTTTATGTAGTTGCTTAATTTGTTGATGGAGATCACGAATAAAAAATCCCATATTAATAATTGTATCGGCATCCAATGTTCGAAGTGCGCGATTGAGCATTTGATAGATAAAACACTCACGTGTATACCACCAAATTGCTTGTTCTGGACGATAATTATGTTTAAATTCATCGATAACATTTAGTTGATTAGTATTGTTAGAACAAAGATCACGGCAATAAGCCGCTAAGGTCTTGCTATCTTGGTTCTGGTTATGTTTCATTTGAAGGAGAATATCCTTGAATATTTGTGTGTACATGTAATTGGGTTTCAGTTGGTTTAGGTTTTCATTGGACACCGCTTCATTCGCCGCGACAAAGCTAATAGGAGTTGCATCCTGATTAACTTGTTTGACACCTTCCTTCAAGGCGTCACAGATGTCCTTGATATTATTATGAATACCCTTAATTTTGTTCCAACTCTTAGTCCATTGTTGGTGATAGGATACGTTGCCACAAAATATGTAAATGGCATCTAAGTTTGGCATGCCATGGATTTCAGGAACTAAATTTTTACCAAGTGATCCTGACGTAATAACGAAAGCTTGTTCATCATTCGTTTGGTCGAGAAATTGAATACATTCATATGGTTGATTGAACATGATGACGTCATTGACAGCAGCTCCGAACTGTTTCAACGTATTCTGACAATCTTTTTTGGTTTGATCGATGGTTTCGTCCACCCAAATCAACAGATAATTTTGGATAATGCGCTGAGGTGTTGATGGCGCTGTTATTGTAACAGTTGTATTAGACGCACCTGAACTGGAGACTGACCCAAAAGCTCCTTTCGATTGTTGTGTGCTCATATTGGTGTGAGTTGCAATTTGACGATGAATGTGAACCTGTAAATAAGTGTTGTTATTTGAATAAAAGTAGAGGTTACAATATCGGTTTATATAGACGACGACTTGGTTTTTCCCCGATTTGTCCATGACGCACAATGGTTGCATCATTATTTTGTCACCATGAGAAGACAAACTCTACTTAATGACTGTTGAGAAGACGGTTGGAAAATATAACAGGGGAAAGAAAAGAAAAACGAAGAAAAAGTAGGAATTTACAAGATTGAAACCAAATAAAAATAAGGAAGGGAAGACATTACTTTATTTTCTTTTATTTTTTTCTTTCTAACCTGGTGTTGTCTGTGTTGGCGCAATTACTTTCATATATCAATGCGTAGATGACACTTTTTCATCAGATGTATATGAAAAGAAAAAAAACACAACTCTTTCCGTGCATTTCTTTTTTCCCTCTCACTCGTCAGTTCATCGTCTTGTTGTTTCGTCAGCGTGGTTCAGCAGTGTCGTAATTACATAAAGAAGAAATTTCCGAAATTGCTGGGAGTGACTCTTGCAATGTGTATATAACTTTTGAAATTTCTTCTTTACTATCTAGTAATTTCTATGAAATTACTGTCGACAGCAGTTAATGGTCCAAAATGATGTAAGAGAGATTTCGGAAACTTTCTGTCTAAGAATTTTGAATACTACTGGATGAACTATGATGTATTTGAATTTTTCATTCCTCTCTTGTGCACACTCACATCCTTCTCCTTGTTCTTTATTGGCCCTAATCGTATGTTCATAGAAGGTCAAAGAGTGTATACTATTAGATTCACAGCTTTCTGAGAGGTATTCTTCTGTCTCCTCTGCATAATATAAATAAAATGGGAAAATCGATAAAAATATAATAGAAAATAAAGAATTTTCCAAAAATGCAAGTCTCATAGGATGATAGAAATATTTTGCAACAAATGATTTCTATTCTATTTGTCAGAGCGAAAAGCAACAAGTATCAACAATCACAATTGTCATTCATTCTGACAAATATCCTTTTCTTCCTTTCTTACGGTTTTATCATGCAAATCACTTCGGACATAATACTGGCACATTTTATGATGAACTAGTCTTCACTTAAAATCAATTTACGAAGTAATTTCTCTTCAAATATAGAAACATAAATAATTTAAATTAGATATTCTGTTTTCATCTCCGAAGAAGATTAAAAACAAATAGTATGCAACATGATATGTTTTGTTCCATTATAATTCTAAAGATGAAAAGTTTTTCACTCGTTAGATCATTACATTTATATAAACCAATTCAAAGGAAAACAGAGAAATACTTGATTGATATTCAACTATTCATAGATTTGACATTGATTTCATATCAGATAAAACATTTTTTCATCGACAAGTTATTTTTATTCAAATAGTTTCTGTTTTCAAATCAACAAAACTTTTCTTCATTATATCATTTTCAATCTAAAAATATTCTCGTCCAAAATAAATCGAAGATATGATTGGTGGATATCATTTAGAATTAGTGAAGAAATTAACATCTACTTTTAAATTCCACAACAATATAATTTTTCAGATATAAACAATATTTTGTCTTTATTGACAACGTCGTCTTGTAAAGATATTTCTCTCAGCAATCTTCATATTAAAACACATAGGTAAATAATGACAATAGTTAATAAACTTTCTTTTGATAATTTTATATGAAAAAGCGTTGCTCTGGCAGACTAGTGTTACCACCAATCCGCATATTATTCGTCATTGCAACATGTATTTTTGATCGGGAGAGATCTTTACCTCTTGGTAAGTTTGTAATAAGCAACTTTTCTCGATCGTCTACAGAGCACGACATCTACTTTGTCTCTACACATTTCATTCTTTCTTTTCTGTCTCTTACCATGATATATGCAAAGACAAAGTGAAT